TCATTTCACGCTGCGCAGATAATTTCTTCTATCATTAATAATAAATACATTACGAAAAATTAAAATTATTTAAAATTGGTGAACTTAATCTACCATTTTAGTATCGTAATCTCACATGTGGCCGAAAACATATGTGTTCGTTTTAACAAAAATATTTTAAATTGTAATATTTCAAAGTTTTGTAATTGTTTAGCCCATTGAAATCTCTATTAGAACACAGATCATTTTCGTTGATCTAAACTTATGCGAGGTCAGTTCTTTGTCTACGGGTAGACTTAAACAAACATCGTCAAATTCGCGAGTTCAACTATAAAAATATTCATGTCCCCCCATACTACTATTGACTTTATAAAATAATTATTATTATAAATTTAGTCCATTAGAAGAAATGATTACTTCCTTTCTCACAAGCGATTAAAAAAATTTTATCTACACTTGAATAAAGATCGACAAATACATGAGATTTCATAAACATGCAGAAAGAATACGTATTTTTGCAGCAACGCTATTTAAAATTGTTCATCTTATTTCCTTTTTAAATAATTTCAAAAGCATCTCTAAAAAATATTTTTGTTGTATATCATTTTTATTGTAACTGTGCATTTTAATTTCATTTCATACTGAATGAAGTTGCCATAAATTTAGGTATTTGTGTATTATCTCATCAACCGTTGGCGGAAATTTCGCAATTGTTACCAATCGCAAGTCGTTACTTCGGAATTCTAAGGCCACGTTCGTCCTTGCTCGGCGCTAAATCGCGATAGATGGCTGGTACGATAAAACTACCGAAATTTATGTGAATAACTACCGATAAACTACCGAAATTCATATGATGAATTCTAAGCAAGAATTACATTGCTGTTTCTTTTTATTGCATGAATTGTTTATATAGCGTAAATCAGAGAATCTTATATCACATGAAGTTTTGCAGCTGCTTCCCTCAAATATGTCGACTAAATTCGTTGTTACTGATAAGTATAAAGGGTAAAAGTTTACAATCGGGTGTTTACAGCCAAGAAATAATGTTTCCAAGATGGCTGTCATCCAAAACAACGCCTAAAACTAATGTTACAAAAACAACAAAAGTACTCACCTAGTGTGTTCTTGGCTACGTCTCAGCGTTGGATGACCGCTGCACATACATAATGCAAATCATACAGTCCCAGAATTGGTAAAATAAGATCACGGACCAACAGAGAGTACCTCCCTCTTTGAATACACCAGCCTAGCAGCTAACTTCCAGAAGCAAAATGCTTCCCGTTCTTTCCCCTTTTCAAATGTACCTTTACGGGAGAAAATCCCTCTCCGTCTCAGCCGTCAGACCCAACTTGGGATACATCAAGTAACTGGCAAGGGCAGGATAATACATCGCCTGCTGAGAACCAGTATAACGCCAAAGATCGAATCCCAGAGCTGATCGCCTTTCTCCTGATGCCGGTACTGGCGACGCCAGTACCGGCATCAGGTAACGAAGTAACTAAGTAAGGTAACGAAGTAACTAAGTAAGGTAACGAAGTAAACTAAGTAGGAATCAGTGCCAGATTTACGTATAAGCTGCACAAGCTATAGCTTAGGGCTCCACTTTCTTGGGGGCCACAACCCAAAAATTGTATCATATCCCATATAAAAACCTGACTTATATCCCTCATAAAGAGCCTCATATCTCAAATAGCTTAGCATCTCGCCAAATCTGAATCCGGTCCTTGTAGGAATGCAAAATACGGTTCATGGCTGCCGAAGACCCCGCTTGTGAAACTTGAAACTTGCTCGTAATGTGGCTTAACAAGCCCTCAATGGTGTTGGTAAGAGCGCCAAGACAACTATTAATTATAACCAGCCACTTAAGAAAACCAAAAGGTCAATTAGAGGCAATTAGAATTCCAGTAATTCAAAATACGGTTAATACGTACTGCTAATCAGGCAGTCCTTGATCACTAAACTAAGAAGATCCAATCAGATTAAACTTTAGAAAAATATTAAGCAAGTAACAAAAAAAATTGGCTGCCGTAACAATGAGGAAACAGCCGATTCTGGGTAACTAGAAAACCAGTACCAGGATCGGTATCTGGCGCCAATTCAAAGAGCACCCTTTTCTACACTTGGACAGAGTAATCTATCATAAATTCAAAATATTGTTAAGGAGAGGCTACAGTGATTATTAAAGTAGAGGCCTGGTTATTAAACCTTCCATTTAATCCGATCTGATCTGGCAAGGGGGAATCTGTAAAAGATCTTATCTCAGAAATTGTTGAGCTTGCATCAGTAAGTAGTGTGCTTGCTTTATTGCTGACCTAAGTTCTAGTAACATGAATTAGTACACTTCAGCCCCGAACCTAGATGGGGGCAAGCCGGGACCTTGCCAAGGTCTTGCCCCGGGCAACAAATTCTGTGGGCACTAAATTCAAGTATGGCACTGGGTCGTATTTGGAAGATCGTCTAATTCTGCTACAATAGCAACCTAATTTCTCTACAACATTAGTAGTTTCAATGCCAAGTTTAAAAACATCTTTTAAGATTTATAATGAAATACAAGAATCTTTTACAGTGAAATCGCAAACAATGGTGTCTGTGAATCCGCAACGAATCGAACCATTAGTGTGAGTAAATATCGCCATTAAAAGTGGGAATGCGTAATTTAGGCAAATTGATAGATGATGCATTGCGAATATTCGAATTACAGACGTTACCATTTTGAGATTTAAAATGTTCAGTTTCATACCTTTTTAAGTTTGTTTTGATTTTGAATTTAACATTACTTATAGATTCATTATACTTGAGGGAACTTTGAATTTGCGTTTCGAGCATTGTACTATCATGAATTAGGTCTTCGATTTACAAGTTTAAAGTCCATTCTGTTTTTCTTCTAAACTTAACAAAAATTCCGACAAATTCTCCTGAACGCTTTCGTTTTTATTAATATCCAGACTATCAAAATAAGAGTCAATTCAATTTATTAATTGAAGCACTTCGGGGGAATGTGCAGAATCGCCCACTGCTTGGCGCGGTTTTAAGAATTACACATACTCGGTATCCATATACACGTCGACCTATTTTCACTTAAAAATACATCCCAGAATTTTAAAAGAATGGCATTGCGCACACTCTTGACTATATCCATGTACACATCAACATATTTTCACTTAAAAAGTCAAATTAAATTGACAAAAATTCAATTCTTCTTACTCTTGCAAAAAGCGCCAAACAAATAAGTGGGCGATTCTGCACTTTAGCCACAATTCGAATGACTTTCCTCTTGGATTTTAACGTATCAACAGTTTCCATTTTATACGCGAAACAAAATTGAAAGGGATAACAGTTCAAGTGATAAATAAACTATTAAATTACAAAGTTACAGTACCTGCAATGCAAGTGTTCAAAAATTAGCCTAGAGGGCTCTAGTGTAGAATTGGGTGCACCTTCGATTAGCGACAATTTTTTTTAATTATTTTGGCGATGAAACCTCACTTCTGGTTACCATAATAGTTTTAACTTTGTTTTAGCTCCTGATTTTATTTAAATGAAAATATATTGATGTGTACATGGACAAATTTAAGGCAGTGCGCAATGCCTAGTTTGTGCAATTCTAGCAGTTTCTTTTTTTTTTAAGGGAAAACAGATCGATGTGTACATGGACACAGAGTTTGTACAATTCTTCGACTTCTTATTTTGGTTTTGTGTAGCGGCCATCTTGAAATTGTGTCTTCCTGGCGCCGAACTTGGCGCCAAAAAAGAATCGCCAAAAAACAAGGGGCACCCAATTGTAAACTTTTACCGCCTAGAGCAATCCGAAAGAAATAATCTAAACAGTTCTTGTGGATTTCTGGCACCATAAAAAATAATAATATCACTAGAAAATTAAACGAGATTCTTGCATGAAGAACATGTCGTCCAGTTTTTTTTTCTTATTTTTATTCACATCACGTACAAAAACATATTAGACTGAAAAAAATCCAAGCGTAATTAATCCGAGAAAAAGGAAATTAGAAAGCTAGCCTATTAAGCAAATGTATCCGTTACATAGAATTCTAAAAATTTGTTTTCATAAACATTTACCGCAAAGTCTGCAGGGAAAGAATTCAGACGACCGCAAATCACGCCGTCTGATCACATGATCATTTTATTTTTAACACTGCATTTTGCGCACATAAATCTAAATTTCTTCGGAGCTAATGGTCCGATTTTCGAGGTGATTTGTAACGTTATCTTCCATTTCCGTGCCCCAAACTTTTCATGAGAAAAAAATTTCCTTTCCCCATGGGGGTTATGGTAAAGTCGATTCTTATGTTGACACCTTACGAGGATAACAAATTTCCAATTACAAGTATCCTAAAACAAATGTGAGCCACTGTGTGTTTATAGATTAGTAACTGTTTTAAGGTAAAAAGTTCTATAAGAATAACAGAGATTCGTTCTACTTATTACTATCATTTTGTTTCAATTAAAAGAACTATTTTCCGAATCTAGAGGAAGATGCAGTATTTTTAAAATCAGTTTTTCGACATTTGAGGATAATATGCAAAGTGCTCATCAGTTTTGTAGACAACATTTTGCTACCGAACAGCATTATTTTCGATTTCTACATCTACTTCCTTTGCACCAAATTAAAGTCTGGAGAACTCTACCTTCGTCAAATTTCAAAATGTTCTTTAAATGTTTCATAAAGCATTCGAAGTGAAGTGGGATTTCTTATGTATCGCCACGGAGTACGTGTCATTAGAGCATCTGTCAAGTTAATCGCAGTCAATAATAAACTTCCATGAAGCCAGAAATCCTAATCAGAGTTCATGGAATAATGCATCGCTGATCTAAGAATGCTTAAATATCAGAAATGGTTTAGAGAGAGTTATTTTGGGTCTTCAGATTTTGATACAGCTTTGTACATCTCATTACTATATCTGTTAATTATATTTATAATTTCACTTACTAATTAGATATTAGACGAAATTCCACGAGGCTTTAGTGTTTGATGCGAGGAAAAGTAAAAATAAGAAAAAGACTTATTTATAAAAAAATGAAAGAAATGTTTTATTACAGGTCGAAGGGTGAGATATAATCAATTATTTCATAATCTTCTTCTTTCGGTCTACCGAGTTCTTCGGGTCTCGGCAAGGGAGGAGGTACACGGCCTTCGTAATACTGGAAGTATTCTTTGAGCTTGTTCAGGGCTTTGTTCTCTCCTTTAGGATGGGCATTGTTGAGAACAGGAACATCCACTTCCGGCCCACTGCCCCGTGGCTGATGAGGATCCGGCCATAGGGCCCTACCTTTGACTGGTGGAGGTAAGCAGAGTTTGTTTTGGCAGAAATAATCAGTCCTACCATCGTTATGACACCAAGTGCCATCTGGAAAGAAAGTGTCAATTCCTCTGTCGTTGAATTCTTGACGGGGTGTATACCAGGTGCCGGATTTCATTTTGCAGTAGACTGCGCAGGCTTGCCACTGGCGCTCTGAAAATAAAGAAAAAATTCAATGAGTCGGAACTGTCTTTTAGGTAGAAAGCTATTAAGACTCAGTAACGACAGAAAGAACGATGGAGATTTTTATAATCAAAAGAAATCAAATCATCCTTTCCTTCATGGGATAAAAAAGGAGCAAGTACAGGTAATTCCCACTGTTCTCCATTTTTGAAGTTCCGCTGAAATGAGCATGTGTGAATAAATACGATCAAACTTTAAGAACCTTAAATAAAAATATTCATCCCTTACAAGTTAGCTTTTTCGTTAAAAAAAAAAAAAAAAGAGAGAGAGAGAGAGAGAAATTTTGCCTTTAGAGAACTTTGTTATCGTAATTGGTAATGGTTTCATCAGAGCTAGCCATAGACAACGAAATAAGAAAGTTTTCACAAAAAAAACATTTTCTCTCAGCGACTAGCCATAGACAACGAAAGACATAGATCAGAGCTAGCCATAGACAACGAAATAAGAAAGTTTTCACAAAAAACATTTTCTCTCAGCGACTATGGTCTGTCGTTTTAGAAAAAGGAAGCTCTTCAGAGTCATATATGCTGCTTGCGTCATAGCCATGATAACCATGATAACGGTGCGTTAAAACTATGATAACCATGCTCTTAACCACTTAGCAGTTTAATTTTTCTGCCATATTGTGAACAAAAATAAGCACATTTTTATAAACAGTTTTATAATCAAGAATGAATACAAATCATTACATGAATAAAAATCAGCAGTTAAAGCTCTTTCAAGTATTGCATTTATTGATGTAAGATCGTTTTTAATTACGGCGAAAATAAGACATTTTTACTTAAAGTTGGCTTTTCTCTGACGAAAGTGCAAAGCTGGAAAGAACAGTGTTACAGGCGAAAAACATGTACTTTTTATACACTTACGTTTTTATTTCTTTTCAAAATTCAGCTTTGGCTTGACATATGAACGCACTTCACCCATTTTCTTCCTCTTCACCCCAGAAATTCATGAATTTTTAAGGATTTAATTTTCATGTATTCTCATTTTGTCGAACTATTAAATGGGATTTAAAAATAGAAATTCATGAATTTTTTTAAGGATGTAATTTTTATGTATTCTCATTTTGTCGAACTATTAAATGGGATTTAAAAATTGCTCTAATTTGTTATAATCAAATTTTAAACTTGACATACACATTAGCGATAAACAACTAATTTTATTACTTTTAGATCTTAAACAGCATATGAATTTCAAGGAAGAAAAAAAAAAAGGCTAAATTATTTCTTTTTTCATTAAACGTTTACATTTTCCTTCTCTTCTGGGCAATGCATCCATTTTTTTAAATTTTATTTTATTTATTTATTTGCAATAACCATTAAAGGATATATCAGTGAGTAATTTAAGAATCTTATTCGATAAATACCGATTTTCACGTACTTTAAACGGCAAGTAGTTTTCATGTCCCAACATAATTCTATGATAATGTGAGTTCAAATATCACTGTGTTTTTAACATTTTAAAAATGGCTACAATTTCGCCAAGCAATAATTCTCAGCTATAACTTCGCCAAGCTCGTGAAGCGCGAATGTAAAAATAAATAGCATAAAACATAATAATAACAATAATACTAACATGTCATTTCCGAAGAATAATTTTAAGAATCCTTATTATTATTATTTTATCGGAAGTAAATGTTCCAGTCAACTGCAACACTTTCACACGTATTAAGCTGTTTGTTACACCATTTCGTGGACGTCAACCCCTCTGCCCAAGAATACATAAACCTAATGGCAGCGAAGAACTATATTCTGGAGCTGCGGAACCAATTTCCAACATGGAGGCCCTTCTTCTTTATGCAGTTGTTAACGTTCTGTTTCCAAATGGATTCGGCATTAATATAAAGTTTCATGTTGTGGCCATTTTCTCATACTCATTTGTAAGGTAAAAAGACCTCCTCTTTGAAAAAAAAAAAAATGATATGGTATCTAACTCATTACTTGGTAAACTAAGACTGTTAACGTCATATTCACAAAAAATAAATAAATAAATAAATAAAATAATAAATACGATTACGTGGTGAGGTATGAGAACACGTAGCCAGAATTTGGCGAGATATCTCGGCTGATTGCGATTCAATATCGGGAGCCCCTGTAACCCACTTCGGTATTCTGAATTGTTTAAAGGTACCTGATCTCTTAAGACACTGACATATTTTTCACAAAAAAAATCTGTTTGAGAAAGGTTTATGAAAATTTTACCAAAACTTAAATGCAGCTATAAAATAATTCGTAAAAGTATTATAAATGCGCACATAACTAAAACAGAGATGCGCAAATACATGAGTGTAAAACGAGGAGCCAGATTTAAAATATTCCTTTTTAAACATCAAGTCTTACTTTCATTGTGCTTCACTTGTACTCCTTGAGGCGTTATTTCCGGTACATATTTCGAGAAGAACTCGCACCTTTTTTTAGCGAATTCCACAGGAGTTTGCCGGGATTTGCAAAGCTACGAAAAGACAAGAAAAATAGACGAAGAATAAGTTTAATATGAAATACAAAATATAATCTCAGACAAAATATACATTTTAAATCTCCTTTCCAATGCAAAATGCATAGAATAATGGGAACAGATGACGTCAGTTGAAACGTTACATTATTAAGTAGCCAAAATGCTACTCTATTTAACATTTTCTATTTAATATTCTGTTTAACATTTTTTAATTAGGTAGCTTTCAATTACCGTTTATCGTGTTACTCTGATTTTAGGTTTGGCTAAGTTAGTTATTAGAGATGCACTATATAGTATATATCATGCTGCTTATAATGAGAAGTTATACTTACAATTAATTTAATTAAGTAAGTAAAATCTATTACTAATTAAGTAAATAAGTAAATTTTTGAGTTAAATAAAATCTACTGAAGATCCACCTGGAATAATTTATTATTTTCATATGTTTAGGAATAAGTTTTTAATAAAAAAAACATTTTTCTCCATTGCCGGGCACTTAGCCGACTTAGGCTTGGCCACTAATAAGGCCGGAGGTGGTGGCCACTTTGTTTATGGAAACACCTAATATCTTTAACGTTACATCTTAAGAAGAGACGAACAACTACAGCTATGCCTTCTCAGGGATTCGAACCCGGGCCCTTAGGATGGGCTTCGCAGTGGGCGTTTCTGTTCACTATACCGTTTGGGCGGTATACATAAATATTAAGAAGGAACAAGTGGCAAGTTTTGTAGAACTGGTGTAAATCAATTCCTAAACATTTAACGTAAATTTAAGATTAAATTTGGTCTAATATTAAAGTTATAAATGGCTTCCTTTACACGTATAATAAATAACCATTCGAAAGCCGAAGCTTAGCTCTTAAAGCACAAAATTCTCGCATCACGTTGTACTTCTTTAATTGTTTATAATAAATGTTTTCATCTTTTTCCTAATATGAAACTTTTACGCAAATATAAGAGAAAGATTCTCACTTTAGCATCATCGCAGAAATGAAGTCGAATATTGTCACCCTCGCACAGTTTTTCTGTGTTCTTTGGTCTACATAACAAACAAACAAATTAATAAAAAATAAATAATTTCATATAATATACTATTTACGATACAAAGCAATTAATATTTGCACGATATTACTTAATACACGTTGAATAATGTTACCGCTGTCAAATATAAATCAAAATTGTGGGGTTTTATTTAAATAAAAGTTAATTTTATTTTGAAGCAGCATTTCCTGTTGCTTTCGCTTTCAACCCACGCTTTCTTGCGTGGGTTGAAAGAAAATATATATTGAATATGATTTTAGAAAAATATGATATTTGATACTTTTTAAGATTCTAGCTAAGATACTTTGTTGACTATATCTTTACGTGAACCGTTTACTCGCTAAGTTCAGCTGTATAAGTAACAATACAAGGGAAGGGTGAAATGACCCTTTTATTCAATTCAAGAAAAACATTTACAGTTGGCATTTTCGGTGCTTACAGGTCCACGACAATTCTTTTGGCGGCAACTCAAAAGGGAAATGTAAAACTAAAACTAAGCTTAAGTGAAATAATCAGCCAAAGCTGCACGGAGATATTTTAACTCGCAGTTGGCTCTTGGCCCTATCACCGACTAACCGGCAATTAATACGCACGGCTGTAGAATAACAAGCTTAAATAGTACGTAAACAACGTGGCCGAAAGGCAGTACACTCTCTGTCTGAAGTAACTCAGACACCATCTTAAATAGTAGCTTTCTATGGTATTTTGCATAATGCGCGAAACTAAAATCTCATTTTGGCAAGAAGGCGTGGGTTGAAAAATAAAAGCTATAGGAAAGGTATCTTCCAAAATAAAATTGACTGTTAATAATCCCACAATCTCTATTCTTTAGAACAGGCACTTCAAGATCACTTTTCTTTCCCTGTTTGCCTGGTAAGTATAGCAACGAAAGCTGCGGAAGTTGGTCGAGTATTCTAATTCCATCCCATCTGTTTAGCATGAAAATCGCAGAAATGACGAATGACATAAACCTATGCGGTAATGAAAATACGCGCCACGATCGTAAATCAGGGAGGGTGAAAAGTCCTTGAAGTGCCTAGTAAATACACAGAAGTATTAGTCATAAACGAAAGTTTTCTATGATAGAGAAGAACATAGATGTATGTTTGGAAAATTTAGCCTTTTACTTTGGGTTGTTGCAAAATCTTTTGTCCATGACCACAGCTCTGGATTTCTTGAGGCATCCCGATTTGCACTGGCCCTTATTCCAGTCAGACCATCCTCCTTTTACTACTTTCAGCTTGCTCGAAGACACGCATTCACCACGTTGGCACCACTAAAATTACAATGGTATTTGTAAATAACTCATTTGGCGATTAAATTTCAAAGTAACGTGAAAATATTAAAATTTATTGAATGGCAATAAGATAATTTATTAGGATTTCAGATTATTATTATTATATATTGACGAGAGTTTTCACGAATTCCTCAGTTTTCAAGAATATTAAATTTTCTTAGTAACATCAGTTAATTTCGCAAATCTCAGATGTTTTCAATTTACTTCCTAATTTTGCAATTTAATTTTCATATTATTTTTCTAGCTTAAATATTTTTAATTCTACTTCCTTCAATAACAAAATTAAGTTTTATTACTGAGAATAATTTTATTACTAAAGGAAGAATTTAAAAAATTTTAATGAAATTATTTTTATTAAACATTCTGAAAGAAATCGCTTTGAAATATTTATTGTTTATATTGTGCTTATTTCATGTACTGGTAAAATAGAAAGCATTGCCACATGAGAAAAATATTTGTTGCAAACCTCATGCTCAAGCGATCGAGTGAAATAGGTGCACAACTACGTCTTAACGAATTAATCTTTACCTTTTAAAAATGTGTAAATCTCCCGGTAGCGTTTATTTACGAAAAAATATTATCATAGCAAAATTTGTCTTTACCATTTGGCTTTGATGTGTTGAACAGCTTCCTTTATATGTAATATTTTTCTGTTAATTCCATCTTCAGTTTCTGGGAAATTTATTCCCAAGCTAATATAACTGTACTAACCGCTTAGCCTAAAACTGTTTCGGGTATTAATTGAAATCTGCATATATATCGCGATCAGATTAAAGTTCCTTTTAATGTTACGATTATTATGTTTTAAATTTTAAAATATTCCTTAATTTTTTTTTAAAACTTGATAAGCAAATTCGTTTTAATCTTATAATTACTGACAGAGGTCCTATTAAATACGACTTTACTTTTTCATTGATTCTCTTTTGAATTCGAATCACTTAAGAATGCTACCACCAAATGTTTATCGTAATGCATTATTTTAAAAGAAATAATATACTGAATATAGAAAAATGTATGGCAACACTAAACACTCTTTCGGGAATACTAAAAATATACTATTTTAAAATATTTTATGATTTTGCTACTAAACTTTATGTGGCATGAGTTTGAGGGAAGTGATATTTAATAAATGAAGCTAAAAAGACAAAAGATATCAATAAAAAGACAAAACAATATTGTGTAAAAAAATAATGGCAGAACTATATCGAGAATTTTAAACACTTATTGTTTTTAGAAATTTTGTGATTCTGCTGTCTAATTTTATGGGGAGTATGTACGACGAAAGGCATGTTTAATAATAAAATTTTAAAGACAAAAAAAAATTGTGTTAAAATAAAGTCCAAGGGCTGTTTCTCTATGGGCTTTCTTAACTTTGAAATATAGGAATTAGAATAGAAGTATTCCCCTTCATTCTTATGATTATATATAAATATATTAATTTGTTAGATTTTGTTTTTGGAAATCTTAATGTTAAATTCTTCAAGATATTAGATAGTAAGCTGAAGTTTCCAAACTGAAATTTTTCCCTTTAAATCTATTCACACAAATAAGAGAAATCTTAAAGTTTTTATTTATAATTATTAGATGTGCACAGAAGTGTCTTATTTGACACCCTTTTATTACATGGAAAATAAAATAGATATTTACACGATATATTTATTGTGCTATGTCATCGGTATACGTTTCACGTCACACTCATATTGCTGATTACAGACTAAATATATAGCACGGTCAAGATACTGTGCAGAAATGTTTAAAAGAAATATTTTATACGAATTAAATGTACTGAATTGAATAAAAATACCAGACCGAGAACTCTAAAAAAACTCCAGTTTATGTAGTAAATTCAAGTCAAAGGAAACAAAAGTTAGCTTTCATGTAAAATTGTATAAATCGCTAGTATGAAATTACCAAATTATATCAGACAAAATACCAGAATAAATTAATTGCGATTACTACGCAATCAGATAAGGCCTGCCAAAATATAGGAATTAGAATAGAAGTATTCCCCTTTCATTCTTATGATTATATATAAATATATTAATTTGTTAGATTTTGTTTTTGGAAATCTTAATGTTAAATTCTTCAAGATATTAGATAGTAAGCTGAAGTTAGTAAGCTGAAGGCTGAAACCCCAAAAAATAGTGTAAAGAATTATACTATTTAAAAGTGCACCATGCCAAAAACATTAAATGCAAAATCGATGCATATTGACGGTTGAAAACTGCATTGGGTGACGAAATAATGTTTTGACAATTTTTCGAAATTTCAGAGTGTTATAAATTATTTCCTGAAAGTTCGTCTTTAAAGTTTATATAGACATTTTAGTAGTTAAATTGAGAGATAGGAAGCCTTCCTTGCTTGTGCAAATATGTTTTTTTAAGCCTGAACAGATTGCTGTGTACTTCGGGAGAGTAATAGCGCAAAAGAGTTACAGAAAGACCGGAAAAAAATGTACTTGTTTTATTTTTTATGTATCATGTAATCCTTATTTAATAATTTAAACTTTTATTTTAAATTGCTAAAGTGTGCTTTATTTTCATATGTTGATGATATTTACTGATTTACGACAAATGTCGATAGTTTAGGAATCTTTTTTAAAAAAAGGGCGTGAAAACCGTCAACTTGCACTCGATAAGTAACTTTTACCTTTTTCATCTGTGGAAAATCGTCTAATTGCCCCAAGGTGGTTGTGCTAATACCTAAGTACCATTCTAATTTCTGTAGCAGTAAACAATTTCAAACATGTCAAATGTAATAGGAAAATCTATGGGTGAATTATTGAATTTGGAACACATGAATCAAACTGCAGCATTTTCGATTTTTCAAAAACTGACTTACCTTTTTACCTCCGCAGAATGTACCTTCTAGCGCCGGCCCAGCTGCATAGTATCCTATTCGGTGAGGAGTTTTGCACAGAGTTTCTTGACACACCATCTACGGAATATCACATGAAATACGTCTCAAAATAAAAGGTTCTGCTTTCTTTGGATTTCGTTTTAATAAAATGAAAAAAATATATTGCTACCCATTCGATTTTCATTCCCTAGCTAAAGAATTTCAGCAAGAAAATAAAAGGCTTTTTATTTTTCAAATGCCATTTTTCACAGAATTTTTTAAATTGCCATTTTATGGATTTTTTAAATTGCCGCTTTGTGATCGCTAGTTCGGTTAATAGGGTCAAAATAGTAAAGGATAAATCTTTTTAAAATAAAGTAAAAAGTCTCCAAATATGTTTAAAATGCGGTATAAAAATTGCCATTTTACAGAGAAACGTCGCCTATAAGGGAATAAGTCGTCAAATATCTTGATTTCGATTTTAGTCAGCTATTTAAAATTAAACCCAAAAAAAATGACTTAAACTCAATCGATTTTGAAAGTATCGGATACAGATCTCTGTTCTTCAAAAGCAAATAAATGTTTGCAGAAGTTTTTTTCATGAGAAAACGAATTCCCTGAAAATATCTATGCCAAACTAAGATTGACTTTTTGCCCAATTTTAAATTTTACGTTGAAAAATTCTCAAGAACAAGTAACAAGAAAATTAGAGGTACATCTTCGGTCAAATAATATCCTGAAATGTTATGACCCATTCATAAACGAATTTTTACATGCTTGAAAATTAAATGCTTAAAATACCTTTTTATATGTTTCTAATTACTTTAAGTTAAATTAGTTAAATTCCATTGCTATCTTTTTCATTGTTCAATGCTATATATCATTCGGTAAATGTTATCAAAATAGACGTGGACAAACGTATAAGAAGCGCCTAATGTATTACACATTAGGCGCTTCTTATTCTGTGAAGCGCCTAATGTTTAAAGTGGAAGCAATTTAAAAAACTCATTTAACAGTTACTAGACTGAAATAATAGTAAATTAAAAACTTGCGCATTAAATTAAAAAAATTCCCATTTTAATGTATTGATAAATTCTTGTGAAATTATATAACTAACATAAAATATTGCTCTATAATTATTCGTCTGACTTCACATCAATGAGAATAACATTTTAAAGCTGTCATATCTGGATGTAAAATAAATTTTTAAAAATCTAAAAATTTGAATTTATGACGCATATACTGATGAAACATAGTTAGGGTGCATAACTAAAATGTAAATTACGTACCATTCATATAATAAAAACTGAGAATAATGCACAAAATGTGCTTTCTACTGCCAATTCTTTTACAATATCTACAAAACAAAACTATTGTAAATTACAGAAAATTTCTCAGTGAAATTAGTTTTACATAGTTAAATTGCAGGAGGATTCTGCTTATTATATACAATTGTCCGTGACGAAACCCCCTAATTTGAAACACTTATACGTAGCCATAATAAACAACGCAGACAATGCGTTAGACGTGAAAATAGAAAATAACTGTGGAAATTCATATTTGTAATGTTCTATCAAGTTCATTTTAATTGTAATTCATTTTAATTTCCGGTTATTAATTGTGCTAAAAGCAGAAAAATTTGAAAAAAACTGAAAAATGGCGAAAAATACTGAAAAAGCACAAGCCGTGTGGTGGTATAATAATAATTGTATACGTGCTCCGCCTTTGACACTACACGGACTATCCCCAACTGAGGGTCTACCAGTCAAAGGCTCCTCGAGAGGAAGAAGCTCATCTGTGCTAGCACCCCGGGCTCCCAATCCAAGGTGGTACAGTTGAAAAGTCTCTCTACAACCACGGCTACCTCCTGGGCCCGCGGGGTCACCAATCCTGGTTCTCAGGTCTCACTATGGCCAGGAACTATAAAGTTTGGAGATCTTACTGGTCGTGGAAGTGCCCTCGCCACTACTACAAGGGCAGTCCACCAGGCTGAGGGTTTGACATGGAATACCTGTGGTGACCACGGACTGTCCGTGACAGCGCACCGCTACCAATACCGTGGTTTTATACGGAATTCGAGTCAAGAGGCAAAGCCACGCCCGCTACCGATGCCACCAGCCCGGTGGCCTGTAGACCTTTCCCCCTTGGTCCAACCGAACAAACGGTCTTCCCTCAGGGTTCTGGAACCGCCAAGCTCAAAATGCTTTTTCCCTAGATTACACTATCATGATGTAAATCAAGCCAGTACTGCACTCCAAGGGGAACATGTAGTGGTATGTAAAAACTACAGTCCATTATTGCAGTTGAACGAAGTTTTCTTGCAGAGTAGCACAGATACCCTCTCGTCAAGACAGTCAAGGCATGGAAAGCAGCGTTTCTAGAGACAGGATCTCTTGCTAAGAGGCACGGTGATGGACCATTAAGAACATCAAAGAACATTGTTAATCGCATGTCAGATACGTTTGCAAGAAGTCCTAAAACATCAGTTCTTATGACGTCACGTGAGCTTGGTGTCCCAAAATTAACTATCCACGATGTGGTACACAAACGCCAAAACTCCATGCATACAAATGCGATTATTACGTGAGGTGAAACCCGACGATAAATTCAAACAGGCAACGTTTGCCGAAGACATGCTTCGTTAAAGAATCTCAGATGCTAAAGGAACCTGGGCAGAAATCGAATCTTCCTTAAATATCTTCGATGGGGCTTAAGTTCTCGTAAGGCTTATGTAGGACTGCCGAACAAAATTCCATACACAGTGTCCACAAAAGTCCTCATGAGCCCTTAATTTTCGCAACCGTTAATCGTAGGCATGTTCTTCCACTTACGAAAATGTTTTCAAAAGACGCAATGATTCCTATTTTTGTCATTTTAAATTAATTTTGTATAAAATACGAAATCCAAATTTTCATAAATTTTAGTGTAAGAAAATTCTGAAAAGAATTTGTGTCATATATTTTCTGTTTATGTCAATTTATTTTGTTCCGATCCGAGGGAAAAAATAAGGAATATTGTTAATTGCGTATTATAGTAACCACCTTAATAGAAATCGCTTCAGAATACGCCAAAATCTGGTGACCACACGCAAAACAGTTATTCAGGCAACCATACACATAACAAATATTCAGTTTCTAACGTTGCCAATTTCGCGTGTTTTGTTTTTGTTGTATTGCAGGTTCGAAAGTTATGATTTTGTCTTAAAAACTTCATTCGAAAATTTCCACTTGTAAGATTTTCCTACAGAAGAAGAAAAAGAGGTAAAATTTCTGCAGGAATATATTATTTTGCCTCAAAGTCGATAATTCTTTACAATAAAAGTATTTGTTCTTTTTCTTCCGTAAAATTCGTCAAACTGCGCTAAGGTGGTTGCGATAATACATAAGTTTCGAAATATTTGTAACAACGAATCATTTCGAAAAAAAAAAAATTTTAAGCGTTTTGAATCCACAGTTGTATTTTGACTTTTAACTTTATCGGGATAACATTGTTGTGGAGGTCAAACATGTAAGTGATTTCAGTCATTTATTTTTAAAGCCTTTACAACTCTTTTATATTTCGAAACTCCGAAATCGATTATTGCGAAGACCTAAAGAGTACAGTTAAGTAATTTTTGTTTCTTGTAAAGTAAAACTCAACTTTAGATCTAATCGTACGGACAACAGGCTAAGAAGTTTTTATTAGAAGTAAATATGCAATAATTCTATTAAGCATACTTATACAGAATTCATCGAAATAAGAGACAGTGCTAAAGAACTTTTATTAATGTTTACACTTGTCGAGTACTTTAGAACTCAGCATCATTTGGAATAATAATAAAAAGTAAAAATACGGCCTTTTTCACACGGTTTCTGCCACATTGAAAAAGGGATACATTTTCTTCCAGGTTAACATAAACTCCCGGATGGCTCGTGAAGCAGAAATCCACTCAGAACACATCTGTATGGGATAGATAGGGCAGCAATCACAAAAGGGCTTGAGACTGCTAAAAGAACATGATGCAGACAAATAGGAGTTGCAAGTACTACAACCCCTTTATTTGCGTTGAAGACATTTTCGAACTCAACTCCCGACACCATATAATAATAGCGATTTGTGCTATGTTTAGCCCAGAGAAGATGCATTTTTGATTTAGGCAAATTTTACGATTAAACGAACAGATCAGATAAATGCAAGCATAAAAACCCCAAAGAGAAAATTCTACATAGGAAAACAAACATCATTATTATAAATACTGATCGGAAAAATGCCCAACTCATAAAGTTAAAAATATGACTGTATCTGATTCATTTTGTTTTTGAATTTCTCTCTGTATTTACTCTTAATTTAAGCTCTGTTGTAAAAATATTTGGATTCTTCAAGTTTATTTAAACCTCTCGTCCGATTAAAAGGAAATGAAATCAAAGAACGGAATAGAGATGAATTTACTTAAATATTTTACTGCATATTCAATGATTTTATCTTTCACACATTGTTAGATTAAAAAATTACATTTGCGACATCCAAGAAAATGTTGAAGTTAGGTTTTTTTTTAAACAAACACCTAACTAAAAAATACCTAACTTCAACGTTGCAATAAAAATAATAGTTTTTAATAAAAAGAAACTTGTATAAGTTCATGGCATAATTTAACACAACTTTTATTATTGAATTAAGTATAATCTAATCTCTACATATAATAAAAGAAAGAGTCCGTGTGTCTTTCGTTCGTGCTGCGTGTAAGCTAATAGACCCAGGGCTACGAAATTTGGTATATAGGTGCATCTAGACAAGAGCCAGTGCACCTCGAAACAATTTTTTCAAAATTCGAATCAGATTTTTTTTATTTTATCTTTTCGATTTTATCGCATCATTTTCAATAGTTTCAATCTTTTAGAAATGTGGTTTTGGCAACATTTTTTTTTTACTCAATTGTATACGGGACTGCTGAATGTTGAAAATCAGCACTGTTGCCACTTGGAAAAATGAGGGAGATAATTCTGTGCAGTTTTTTAATTTAATGTTTCTCTTGGATACTGAACGTTTGTTGAGAGAAGACAACGGGAAGCTGGTTGATTTATTTATTAGGATAATTAATATTTGTATTAAGGGATATTGCTTATTTCATTGTAATTTTGTTGTATGTAATAGATTGTTTTTTTAATTTTTTTTTTTTTTTTTTTTTTTTTTTTTTTTTTTTATGAAGTTGTTCCGTAGAGTAAAATTCTGCGCAGTTTTTAAATTTAACGTTTGGTATTGCCTTCAGGTATCTTTCCGGTACATTTAAAAGCCAGACGAAGGCTGGCCGCATAACTGCTAGTAAAAAATAAATAAAAGTTTTGTAAAATAAGCTTTCATTTAAAATAATGAATGAACTGTAAGTAGTAATATAATTTGTCGTAACCGGGAGTAAAAAATAAAATAATTCTCTTTAAGCCATACATCTACAGTTTTATATCACGAATAATAAAAGTGCGGGGCATTTTAGATGAATATATAAAGTTAATGCTTTATGCTTCTGACAATGCATTGGTATTATTATATTTTGTTAAATAGGCACCGACGCTTTTACTATTCATTATACAGAATTATAGATAAATCTTATAAAGAGAAGTATTTAATCTCTTGCTCCCGTTAAACTATATGACAGATTATTTTTCTACTTTTGTGCATTCATTATTTTATGAGTTTTAAATAAATATCTTATTTTATGTATTTTTTCCACTTTCATATTTTTATTCTCAACGGCATGTTATCAATCAAAATGTTAAATTGAAAAATTTTTTTTTTCCTTTTGCCAATAAATAATCGCTGTTTTATTTCCAACAATTGTTTACTTCAAATGATAAAAAAATCGAGCGATTTTGCAAAGCAAAATCAGAAATAGCGTTACAAATCTCTTATTACCATAATTTCAAAGATTTTCTTTGCTCTATATGAATAGAAAAATTCCGAGATTTTTAGTTTTCCGTTTAATGAAGATACGTACGAAAATCCATTTTAACATTAAATTTTAAAATGTCTGAATTGTATTTTGAAACAATCCGCTCGCCGCAGTATATTGTTACAATCTATATAAACTATAGGTTATATATAAACAGTATTCTTCCTAAAGGAAGTATTGTAATCGCGAAAAATTTCGAGTATCATATTTCAACGAAAATATCTATTTTCACCGCTCTCGAATCAATTTAAACGATGTTTTTGTGTGACATTTGTACGTACGGACAGAATAAAAGACTCTTTTTCCGAAAACGAATTGTAAAGTAGATTTAAAATGGATTTAGAAGAGATTTTTTCATGAGTCTGTTCATGTTTTCATGTCATAAAACGACAGCATTCTAAAGTCTGCAAGAAGAAAAAATGTTATTTTTCTCACCGAAATAACGGTCTCATTGAAGAGTGTCGCATCCTCATCTCGAAGAAAGATTTTGCACTGATCATGAGCGTCCCAAACTTGTCCGGGCTTTTCTTCATACTTAGAATGGTCCCTGCCTTTAGAAGGCGATCCCTGAGGTGCATCCAACAAGCATTTCTTCCTGAAAATTTAGACTTTTATGAGTAAGAATATACATAATATAGTATTTTCGGTGAATTTGGGGCTTCTGTTAAATTGGCGAAAATTTGGCGACTAACCCACCCCGGCACAAACAATTTATTTAGCAGGTCATTAGTTTGAGGTGTCATTAGCTTCGATTCCCACTTTGTTCTCTGTATTATGTTTCAAATAAAAGGATTTTTCGGTATTTTTCCTTTTTGTCGGCGCAAGCGATAAAGTCGCCAGTAATGGCACAACCGATGCAAAACGAAATATCCTCGCTGGTAACCTTTTCCTTTAACTTTTACATTTTCAAAATAAGTCTCAGCCATTTCTTATCAGATTGATTGTTTTTTTTTTTTTTTTTTTTTTTTTTTTTTTTTTTTTTTTTCAATACTGGCATACAATTACATAGAATTTTTACCACATAGTTCAATTTTATGCCCTAAGGCTATTCGGTAATTAAGTCAATTAGGATGCAATCACACAGCTCATCCAATGGCTAAAATATAGAAAAGGCAAGGGTTAAATTCATCAGTTCTAATTAGAATCCACTAGCGAAGAGATCCACATAATTTCTGATTAAGCTATTCGTACGAATTGAAATAATTCTTGCATTTAAACTTGTATTCCAAATTAAGATTTAACTTTAAATTAACTCTCGGTAGATAATTACCGAGAGAACTAAATTTTTGTATCGTAGTTTACGTGAGATGAGATCACTTGGGGTCACGTGATATGAGTCGGCGAATCAGGATGTTGTATGATGAAAGCATAGTAAATTCTTAATGTCTTTTTACAAATTTTTTATCTTTATTTATTGGCTTTTTTAAGAAATTTTAAACGACATTAAAATGTTTATACCTTCAAAATAAAAAATTCTTAAAACTAACATTTGTCTTTTTTTTTTTTTTTTTTTTTTTTTTTTTTTTTTTTTTTAAATACCATGTGTTTTCGCCAATAAAGTCTTCTTGACGAAATTTGCGCCGGCGAAACGGAAAAGTACCGATTTTCCCAGCAAGTCTTATTACCATACATTAGTTTTTAAAAATAATAGAGTGAATATGGAAAAGGCAATGGGGTACTATTCGGTTTTGAGGACCGTAAAAAATCGCCAAACTATTGTTGACGCCAGTGCTGCCAAAAATAATTGTGGCAACCCTAACGCAAAAAAGGAAGTATAATAGTAAATAACTATCTAAGATTGATCATTTAGTTTAGATGAAATGTTAATTTCGTATAATACTTTTTTATTATTATAATTTATATAAAAAGGCTAAACATGACTGATGGAAGCAAAAGAGTAAAATTTCAGATCATTTTGTAATTTATATAAAAACTGCTAAACATAACTGAATGGATGCCTGCATCGCTATTTCGCTACCGAATAAAAAAAATGCATAAGCACAATTTCTCTAAAGCATAATTTCATCTCTTTGGTTGTTCAAACATAATTTTCTATAATGAATGATGCCTTTTCTATGCAAATTTTCTCGGTAAAGTTCGGAATCATACACTTATTTGTTTGCCGCTTTTTACAAGGGTAAAAAGAATTGCATTTTTGTCAATTTTCTTTTACTTTTTAAGTGAAAATAGGTCGATGTGTACATGGATAGAATATGAGAAATTTTTAAAAACGCGTCAAGCAGTGTTGGATTCTGCACTTTACTCAAAATTCTACAGACTTTTCGTCATGGGCAATTCCCAAATTGTTAAAACCATAGGATATCAAAAAAGGATTTAAAAATTAAACTAATATTTCAATGGCGTCTTAAGAAATATAGAACTATATCAACTTACGCAATCTGAAATCAGCGCGTACGCTAGATTTGGCGCTTTTGTGCATATATTTTCGCTGCAATTTTTTTACGGTCCTCAAAACGGAATAGTACCGGCAATGGTAATTAACACGCTATCTTGAATAATAAAAATATGTTTCTTTTAAGTATTTTGTAATTTTGCTGTTGCGTTTTATATGGCGTAAGAGAGAAGAAAGTTATGTTTAATAAAGTCAAAAAACACAAAGGTTTGTAATAAAAAGTCAAAATATTTGTGTAAGCCTCCTTACTAGGAAAACTGGACATTGATAGGATAAATTGAGAAAAACAGAAAAAAAAATATTCTGAAAGGTTTCAGATTTTAAACTACGTTCAAAGGGGCGTTTTTTTAACATTTTGTGTGTTACATTTATTTATTAACTATCATTTTCTTCGCACTTAAACCATGAAATTCAGTTCAACAGCAATATCGCAAGATAATTTTAAATTGAGCATATCTTTATAATTTCCGATACATAGTCTCAGCGCTGCAGATAAAAATGTTTTTTTCTGTACAACGTTGCCATGGCTCCCTTTGAAATCCTTGGGTTTGTTAATCGAAAATTCGTTAAAATTTTACAAAATATGAAATCGACATTAAAACAAATTCTAAATTTCAAATTTGGTCTTCCACATGCCCATATTCGCAGTAGAATTACGTCATTCAAAATTCGATGGCTCTATGTACCGTTGTTTTATCACAATGCGAGAAACATACATACATTTAATGCAGATTTTTCATTATTTAATTTTTTTCAAATATAATGCAAAACTCTAACATTTGGTGGCAACAGTTTGAAAAGTGAAACGGACATTTATAGTGAACAAACGCAAAATCGCAAAAAGAAAACAATACTCCTTCAGGGACAAAGCCCCTTTGGACTAAAAAGTGGGAAAAACAGAGAGATATATGGCAGCACTTAATTCAGTATTCTAAAAGTAAAACTTTAAGGCTTTTAAACATTTTGTGTTTTTACTGTTGAATTTTGACACGGAGGAAGAAGGACGCTACAGCCGTAGCAACTACGAGGAGAAAGTTATGCCAAAAGTTTTATGCTACAGATATACTGAATTGCTTTTACGATAAGAACGTTATGCTTCAGATAGGTTAAATCGCTATTTAGCGCAAGTTATGCCACTGTTACATGCTTCGACATGGGATGTCATGCAGTACTTCAAGTACACAGGTATGTTCCAACATTTAGATTTATTTTCACTTTTTGGATACCTACTAAGGACAAATATAGATAGGTAAAGACTTCAGCGTCGTATACCTATTAAATAAGTGAAGACCTACCTATTGTTGAATTTTAAGTCTCGAAAGTAGGAAAAAAGGGTGTGTTTAATAATAAAGTTAAAAATACAAATAAAAGATGTGTTAGCAGGAGTGAGTCCAAGACTAGATTGATAAACTACGAGCTCAATTGTTAAATATCTACGACTGCGTTAATTGATTGATACAATTGGATTGAGTATTAATTGTGACTTCTGATTTGTATCTAGCAAATAATTCGATGCTTACTTGCAAGTAAGATGAGAAACTCTCTTAATTTAGTTGTTGTTAATTGATGGTAGATTAGTTATCCCCTTGATAAGTCGATTAATCTGCGATCAATGACAATAGCTAATTTTTCAATATTTAAAATGTTTACTTTTGGTTTTGGTATTTTTGCGATTAAAGATTTTTCTTAGCAGATTTTTATGTTTTTAAGCAAGAAGGATTGAAAAATTCTAATTAAAATTCTAACTAAATTTTTTTTCATTCATGGTTTTAAATTGAATTTTGTGTACCTTGGAGATGGTATATGGAAAATTTTCTTTTTAAATTATTATGAATTTTATATATATTTTAGTAAGAAAACTGTAATTAATGATTGTGAAAAGAGTTAGAATTAAAAATAATAAGTACTAGCATATTCTCTAAATTAGCAACTATGATAAAGATGCAAGAGAAGCACGCCGACGTGGAAAATAAAACGGGGAAATCAACAACCTCGTATTCGGAGTAAATTTTGTAAAATCCCAACAAATTTACAAAATCTACACCGAATACAGGGTTGTGGATTTGCCTGTTTTATTAGCAACTATGATATCTTTAAAAAATTAATTCCTAACCAAACTTTAAAATGGTTGAAAATAAATAAAATTTAAATTATAGAACGTATTCATTAAAATCGATAAAACTGAGTGAAAAAATATATGTTATTTAGTTAATGAATGAATCATATTCGGCACCATTTTTTCTTGTATGTCAAATATTACCCCGAAATTTTCGGATTACTGTTCATCATCTTCAGACTCCCAGCTAGCAATCTTTATCGTCACAAAAACCGTCGCCAAATAGCCCGTTACCATATTCCGAAGATCAGTAACATTTTACTTTTTACTGACAAATAAAAGCCAAAAACAAATATGAGCTATGGGGGTTACTCACTCTGATTTTTCCAAAACTTTGGAGCTGCAGGTAGACCAGGTAGTCTCTCCTTTGGTTCCTCTACTCGGAGACATCACGTGACCATTAGTCGGACAGTTATTATTCGGAGGCCCATCATGAAACATTCCTAAGCTAAAGGCAAAAGGTGAGAAGAAGGTGGTAAGAATATAAATATTAGTATTTATAATATACTAAATTGATTGCAGACATATTGCAGGGTACTTTCAGCTTAGTATCCGCTAAGTGGCCAACTCATTGGCAATCTTGTGAATTGGCGAAAACATTTGTCTGGCTACCTTTACAGCTTAAGAAGAAATATTTTTGCTTGGATCTTCTTGGTACAACTAGCCTATCACGGCCCACCAGCGGCCGAGCGGTAAAAGCCGCTGAACACTGGTAGTTCGGGCTAAGGTTCGAATCCCGCGAACGGGCTGCCTGCATGAGCGTTTTCGTGGTTTTCCCTATGTGTAACCTGTTAATACGAGCTAGCTAAACTTAGAAAGTCCTCCACGAAGGCATCCCTCTCTTCCGTGTAGTGCCTAAGGGCGGAGCACGTAATAAATAATAAAAAAAAAAAAAACTAGCCTATCACGCATTGATTATTTTTACTCGTAAGTTTGGAAAAGTGTCGAGGGCCATTGGTGTGTTAATAGTGAAGCGCAAGACGCGACGCCCGTAAACGTGGAATGAAGAGTTGAACACTGAGTGAGTGCAGATATTCACTGAATGAAACTTAAAAACAAGTTCCTAAAACGAGAGACACAGAGTCCGATCTTTGCGAGTAAAATAAATAAGTTGAGAGTCTGGAAAAAAACCATTAACTACCATTTGGCATTATGATGTATCTTTCTTGGTCTCTTAATAACACAGTCAACTGTAGGATCATAATATGCGTCTCTTGAAACTTTCTAACGTTTGAAAAGGCAATTTTTTCCCCTTTAATAACTTCAAAAATATGATTACGCTGGTAGGTATAAGAAGTTAAAAGAATGAGTAATTGCTTGAATGTCATGATTGAGAGAGATATTTGCATACTCAATATTTGCGATGTTATATTATGAAGAGAAATAGTTGTATTAATATGAGATAAAAGACTGTTGAACATCCAATTAATTCTTTCGCGCGTTTTGCGTTGAATTGTACAGGTTTATATATGCAACAGAAAGTAAATAGTACGGACAGATAGAAGATCAGAAGATAAGGACTTCCAGGAAGAAATTTGAGGGAAAAAAATGTATACTCAATATTTATATTTTCATAGCCGGTGGATACTGTTTAACAATATGTTAATCCGAGTGTACTCAAAATATGTATTTGACATGCAAATGCTGATTTATTTATTGTCGGGTATAGACCCAAAAATATGCCAAAAACCGGAAATTCTACCGAAAGTTGAAACAGGGAAGGCAAATAATCAGAAAGTACTCATTGCACATTGACTTTATATCTATCTAAATTATCCAAATGTAAATGAATGAAAAAATTAACGTACAAATAGCCTAAATAAGCAAGAAAATATCAGAAAGGGAACAATTTTTAGCAATAGTCCATCATTTCGATAAAAACTGGAACTTTCAGTTTGCGAATCTACCCTAGCCCCCAACCTCTTTGCTTCAAACTCAGTATTTCGCGCCCACCAGCGACCGAGCGGTAACGTCGCTGAACACTGGTAGTTCGGTTCGAGGTTCGAATGCCACGAACGGGCTAGCTGCATGGGTGTTTTCGTGGTTTTTCTCATGTGTAATGTGTATACGAGCAGTTTTCCTTAAAAAGCCTCCACGAAGGCATCCCTCCCTTAAGGCAGGGGGAGGGGGGGGGGGGGGGGGGGGGGGGGGGGGGCGGGGGGGGTGGCGGGGGGGGCGCGGGGGGGGGGGTGGGGGGGGGGGGGGGGGGGGGGGGGGGGGGGTGGGGGGTGGGGGGGAGGGGGGGGGGTGGGGGGGGGGGGGGGGGGGGGGGGGGGGGGGGGGGGGGGGGGGGGGGGGGGGGGGGGGGGGGGGGGGGGGGGGGGGGTGGGGGGGGGGGGGGGGGGGGGGGGGGGGGGGGGGGGGGGGGGGGGGGCGGGGGGGGGGGGGGGGGGGGGGGGGGGGTGGGGGGGGGGGGGGGGGGGGGGGGGGGGGGGGGGGGGGGGGGGGGGGGGGGGAGGGGGGGGTGGGGGGGGGGGGGGGGGGGGGGGGGGGGGTGGGGGGGGGGGGGGGGGGGGGGGGGTGGGGGGGGGGGGGGGGGGGGGGGGGGGGGGGGGGGGGGGGGGGGGGGGGGGGGGGGGGGGGGGGGGGGGGGGGGGGGTGGGGGGGGGGGGGGGGGGTGGGGGGGGGGGGTCGGTGCTTTGCCGTAATCTAATAAACCAAACCAAAATCAACCGAACCTAATATTTCAAATTCAGCGTGAAGCATTATAGCTTCTGCTAAGTTCACCGTTTCAGTGACACTTTGATAAAAATCAGGATCAGCTCCAACGAAACTGTAGTTAGCGATATTTTATTACTTATGTCTATTGATTTTTAAGTTGAATTTTCTCATTTATTTATGATTAAATAGCGCAAAGTTATTTTTCTCGAGCGCTGTGAATACAATGCAAGCAAGCTCTGCTCAATATAATTTCAGTTATTGATTTTCAAATCATAATTTATTGCTTATTTGAAATCCAAGTATTTACTCTAAAACTTCTTTCTCTTTGAATTCAGCGTAGAAGGAATAATTTATCGCAGATGAACATTTTCGATGAAGCATCTCCAATATAACAAGTGTGCACCAGTGGCCGAACGGTAAAATCGCTGAACACTAGCAGTTCACACCTGGGTTCGACTCGTCGTAGTTTCACGGTGAACGGGCTCGCTGCATGGGCCTTTTTCGTGGTTTTCCCATCTGTAAAGTGTATACGAGCCAGTTTTTCTTAGAAAGTCATCTACGAAGGCACTCCTCCCCTTAGACAAATAGCACTAGTGTGCAATCAACTAAAATCAAACGAAAACGGATATGGTAGGTAATGGTATTCATCCCTGGAATTATTCCATCTCATTGTCAATTAAATACTTGTAAGAATCAGAATTAAATTATTCACTGATTACAGGATATTATAGGACAGTAAAAAGGGGCAGGACAGGTGAATGCAAGGCCCGGACATCCGGAAGGCTTTATATGACAAATCGAATGTCGTCCGGTTCCCGCACCTATCTAAAACAACACAACCCTTGCGGCTTCCCTCTAGGGCTGCATCGGGAATTTATTAATGCAGAATAGGAGGTTTTGACGTGGCTAAACAAGGGCGTATTCATATATGCTTCAGCGTACAATTAATAAAAATTTCATACATAAGTACATTGGCTGGTATAGGTACACTGGATACATATGTGTATTGGCCTGAGTGGTTAATGAGATAGGCAAACAATAAGCATTTATACATTAAAAGAAATGATACACTGATAATACAACTGGCGCATTAATGCAGAAGATGACAAATAACGATTACAAGTAATCGTGTATCATCCTGTATGACTATACATAAACTACTAGAAATGATATGCATAAACAGTTATGCAGTAATAGCAATGAAAGTCTGACAACGACACATGTATAGTAATACGAATAATGGCGATAAATAAAAACACATAATCATGTATTGTATTTATCACCATCATCCGTATTACTGTGCATTCGCACTACTGGGCTATGCACACATCAATAAAAATGATACATACATACCTATACGTTGACAGAAATAATACACTGAGAATGAAAATTGTGCATCATTGTGAACGATGACAATTAATGATTACACCTAATAGTGTATTACCTTACGTGGCTATACATATATTAGTACAAATGGTACACTTAAACACTCATACATTAATACTAAATATGACAATGAAATACTGAAAATGACACTTGTACATTATGCGATAGAAAGTGGGCAGGACAATAGAATTTCGTAAATGGTTTTATAGGTGTAACGCCTATAGCACTAACTGGAGATCTCCATCTTATTTTATTGAAGGACACCGTGGCTCCGCCTTCTTCTCCTGCCACGAAACTACTCCAGATGACGTTTGGCTCACCAATATTTTAGGTGACCGCATATCGCAAAAAACTGAGCACTTGCAAATATCTGAGCCTTCTCCGTTATTCAAACGCGGGTCCAAAGATACAGAAACCAGCATCACTAATCACTTAATCTATCAGAGCATCTCATAGCACAAAGAAGTTCTCTAAATAAAACACTGCTAGTTGTTGTGGGTTAAACGTTAATTTGGGTAAAATTTTGGACAATATAGCATTGGCTCAATAACAGTTTGACAATATTACCATAAAATATTTCCTAAACGGCTAAAAGCATTCGCTTTACATAAAATGAGCCCAGCTTTAGAGACGCCACCATTTACAGCCAAAAAAAAAGAAAGAAAGAAGATTAACCACGGCTTCAAAAATATTCTGTTTTAAGTGGTTACTACAAGCCAAAGATATCAAACAGAGAACTTACTTGTGTCCAATCTCATGTGCTGCCACGTAAGTAGACAGCAGACCTGCTGAAGGATAAGGACGACCATCATCACTCACAGTTCCAAACTCAGCAATAACGCACGAGTGCTCTTTCATGCAGACACCACCTACCGGAGCAAGACCTAGAAATTAAGTATGGAGGGCACATAAGTAAAAGAAACTGGGCATCACCATCCATTGATATTTTTGAACAATTAAGATACAATAACACGCCGAACAAATATTGATTTAGAAG